CAATATTGAGAGAAAGAATAAATATGTTTTATATATTAAATTGATGAGTCGGTCTCATAATAAAGAAAAGTTATTTATTATTATATCAGTAAAATCATCAGATTGTTGAATAGCTGTGAAAAGATCTTTTTAGACTGAAAGTAAGGCAAGTGACGATAAACGTTTATTTTTCATGGAATCTCTACTATAAATTTTCATGCATTTCAAACATGGAAAATGTCTCTCAACCCAAGTACTTGTAAATGGTGTAGTAACAAACAAAACAAACAATTTGAAAGCCTCTGGAAATATATTTCCAGGATTATTCTCCTTACATTATTTTATAATCGGAATTATCATATCTATTATTATTAATACCTGCAATTTATTCATTAATTTACGTCGGTCAATAACATTTTTTGTTTGTTAAATCACTATTAAATGCGTTGGAAATGTATCAATATAACAAGTTTGTTAAATCAGATGTTAAATGCGTTGGAAATGTTTTATATATAGGATTTCTTTAAATTTCGGATCCGCAAGAGATAAATAAAAATAATTGAGACATACGAGTACATATCTGCAAACCTTATTTCTAAATGTATAACAATGTTATCTAATATTTCATAAAATAAAATTTGCAAAAATATTTGTCTTAGCCGCTTTTATTAACATATCTGTTGTATCGTCTTCTTGCACCGAATATAATAACGCGCTTTTTTATTTCGGATTCTTTTATTTCTGTGACGTGTTCTGAAATACAACCGGTTATATAATTTTGAATAATCTCGAACAAGCCCGAAAAAATGTTTCCAATTAGCTTTAAACGTTTTTTTTTAATTTTCATATAAAAGCTACGTATAATGTGTGTGAATCATATGAAATATCCCCTTAACGAAATGTGATACCTCTTATGAAATATCGGGAATATCCCCTTAACTTCTAAGCCTACCGAGCCTCCACGACTTCATGCGAAGGCGACCGGAGATTTCGCCTAAGCCCCATCTTAATACGATACAACTCCGACTTACGTCGCGTCGCTACCACACGACAAGTTAGACAGACGCAGAAAACTGCCGTACGTCGTGCATCGACTCTGATAGTAGGCGATGCAGAAATCGACTTGTGTCTAGCCCTAGCAGGCAACTGTTAAGCCCGACCAATCACGTTAGAGTTTTTGACAATCACGAATTCATTAACACACTCCAAATAACCACGCTAACCAACCTGATTGGTCAAGCTTAATAGTTGACTGCTAGAACTAGACACTTCTCAGAAATCGCTGAACAAAGGCACTCCAACGGCGGCATAGTCATCGTCCTTACGCCAGCGATAGTGAATATTTTAATATACAAGACCACAAATATTAAAATAATATTGATTATTAAAACACACTTCCATTGCCACGCCCTTTCTAATTTGAAGTTCAATAAAACACAAGTTTACTTAATGCGGAATGAGTTGCATAGAGGCCACTAGCTTTTTAATTTTAACAGCCGAGTGGTTGGTGTTCAAAGATATTAATAAAAGGGCGCCACGAGATTATACTCTATGAACTCGGCATAAAAGATGTAACTATTAAGTAGACTTCAACACTAACCTCGAACTGTTGAGTGCAACTATGACTGTGACTATGTTGAGTGCATCTATGACTGTTACAATTCCCCCCCTTCCCATCCTTCACAAAATCAGATTTCTACCGGAAATCTCCCTCCAGGATATAGATAGAGAACTATATATCTTGACTAGTCCAACTCACAAAAAGGCATAAATAAAAAACGATGTTATAGATTATTTTCACAGCCATCTTCGATATCCGGTCAATGAACGAACTAAACTCACAAATTCCCACAATTAAATGAACGAATTGCACACTGCGATCCACATCAAAAATAACCAATTTAACTACGAAATTTTATCTGATAATTATAAAATTTCAACAACCAAAACAAAGGATAAATAAATCTAAAAACATCTGATTTGATCTGACAGTGACAAGTGACGGAGGTGATGATCAAAGATATAGAGAGATGGACAAAAAGCCTACTACTGCTGGTGTGCCTGGTCCAGTGACAATATTGTGTATCTATAGCGCGGTGTATATCGGGTTGCATAATTGAAAAATTTAAATAAAATAATATTTAACAATAAAATTATAGTAAACATGATGCAAAAATAATAGTTATTTGCGATAATTTATGAGCTAGCACACAGAGGTCGTTGCGAGGAAATTTGACTGTTACACCGTGTATTAACAGTATTTTTATGTATTGGCAACATTAATAGTAAATAATGTAATGTAATAAATCGCTTAAATTCTGCCAAAATTTTAGGGTAGACGCCGCCTACCTTGCCTATCCTGACGGGCCGCCACTGAATTAAACTATAAAAATTCCTGAAAACATTTTAAAATTGTTACTACTTAATGTTTTATTAAAATAATTAATTACAGCATGTACTCTGGGGTGCAGAAGTGTTTGAAAGAAATCGGTCTCCTGAGTACAAAGATATGCCACACTTTATACTTTTTTTTTGTTTTGGGTACCTTAACGACAACAAATCTATTTAATTATTATTCAAAATTCTAATTTCAAGCCCGACTCTGGTTTTTTAAATCATTTAATAAGATTATATTCATAGCAACAATATTGATCAACGCTAATTAACAATGAATAAGGATAATCGAGCCAATTGGAAGATTCAAATAAATAATATCCAGTTCAGCAATTTCAAGATATTATTTTTAACTTTTTTTATTGCGAATTGGAAATCTCAGTGTGCGATCTAATAGTATGCATAATATTAATCGTAGTTAGTAAAAAAAACGGCGTCAGCGATGGTTATGAAATAAAGACCGCTGTTATTTTATATGTAAAATTGTATGGGGATTGTCATCAATTGTGTTTTAATCGTGTAATTGTGGCGTAATTGTGTTAATAATCGGCGTAATTGTGTTTTAATATTCAAAACATGATGTTTTCATTTTCTTATCCTACCATATTTTGTTTTAATTTAAATTTTTCACTTCATAAAAATTCCTTCCACGAAGGTGGTCCACAGACTGAATCTCTGTTGAAAACAGAGATCCAAAAAAGGATTGAAACGTCAACAAAGATAATTTGAATAAACAGTCTTTAAATAGTGACCTAAAACCAAAAACCATAAAATAAGAAAATTATATACAGGGTGCTACAAATTCGAGGAACGAGCATTGGTAGCTCGGTAACCGCAATAGATACAACAGGGTTAAATTGGGGCAAAGTTGCGCTTTCGGATGTTCACCAAGATGCCATCAAAAAAGTTTTAAAAATTTCAATGATTGCTGAGTTTTTTGAAAAAAAAACGGATTTTTTTGAAAATCAGTTTTATTCACAATTCACAATTCACAAATTCATTATTTCATCACAACAATATTCATCAGCGCTAATTAATATTGTTTAAGGAAAATCAATAAATCTTGTTTTGAACATTTGAAATCAATACATTTCAACATTAAGAGAACAAAAACAATTAGCGTGTAATAAAAAAAAACAATTAAAAAGTACAAAATGCATTCGGAAGTATAAGAATCTGTTCAAAGAGCTATAAATAAGATTGAACGAAAAACAAATGTGTGCATTATGAAGGGTGGTAACCCTTTCAAACATGCAGAGCATTAGAAACTAGTTTGTAGAAGTTGATTTATTTATAATAACTACGATTAATATTATGCATATTATTAGATCGTACACTGAGATTTGAAATTCACAAAGTTAAAAAAAGTTAAAAATAATAGATATCTTTAAATTGCTGACCTGGATAATAATTATTTGAATCTTTCAATTGGCGTGATTTTCCTTATTTAAAGTTAATTAACGCTAAGAAAAAAAAAGAAAGAAAGTATTAAGTGTGCCATATCATTGTACTCAGGAGACCGAGCTCTTTCAAAACCTGAAATAAAAAATGCAGGTCCGTATTTAAAAAAATTAAGTTGGCTTCTGTATCTCACAAATCATCAGCTAATTTGACAATCTAAAAATACCATCAGATAACGCTAATAAAGTGGCTATGAGAATCTGCAATTATTTTTTTGATTTTCTGAAAAGTAACGACAGGAAAAAATAAAACTGATTTTCAAAAAAATCCGTTTTTTCCAAAAAACTCATCAATCCTTGACATTTTTAAAACTTTTTTGATCGCTATCTTCGTATCTATTACGGTTTCCGAGATACCAATGCTCGTACCTCGAACTTGTAGCACCCTGTATTAAAGGTCAAAAAACTGAAAAAATCAAATAATTAATTTTTAGTTGCAAAATGGACATTAATTTCCATATTTTTACATTACAATTATTGGTCTATCCAACCATTTTTTATGTTAATTAATTCTTTTAATGAATATCTCCATTGTTAATAAAATGTATGTCCTATTCCTAAAGTCATTAGAATTAATAACCACTTGACAGACATCTTGTTCTCAATGTAGGAAATGTGTAATTCAACTTAGGAAGGCCCGACTTCAACCGAAATTTAGTTACCATAAAGCAGATATATGAAGTGTAATTGCAAAACTTTGATACAGGTTCATATGTAATGTTAAATTTAATTCTGTCCACTGATAGATATACCTAAATAATAATCTTCGTTCTATGAGTAGAGAGAAGTAAAATAAAATTTACTGGTTTTTACATATTTATGGTTTCTGTAGTATCCTATTTTTATATCTGAATATGTTTGTAACCTGACTATTTTTATTTTTATCGTTAGTAACTCATAGTTTAATTATTATTTCTGTTATCAAATTTAATATAGCACATTTCTTATATCTGACTAGATCTAGACCATGTCGAATAGCCTATACATATAATTATACATACAAAATACCTTCTCAAAATAAAAACAATATTATTCGTTACAGAAGATTTACAGCCGAAACTATTTCCCAATATTTAGTGGGTTTACAATTGTTACATTAAAACTTGTACATTAAACTAAAAGTGATAGTGATGAGATTCTACAGTATATAAAGTTACAAATAACGTAATGCTCTGTTTCGACATGCGATTGGTACAGCGACTTCGTGGCGAGAAACGGGATGATTCGTCTTCCAGAGATCGCTCGAAAAGTGTTTGTGTCACTAGTTTCTTAAACAAATCTCCGAGAGATGTGAGTGCGTTCAAGCTACTTCATCGGAGGGCTAGCAGTGCTTTGTGAGTATAATTTTTAATTTAAGTGCATGCGTTCTTTTCGGTGGCGGAATATTTTAATATTATGAAGTTAACCACCGACTTAACTTAAATGTTGTATTCATTGTTTATATACATTGAACTGTTTTTTGTGACATGCTACAATTATATTTTGTTTTATTATCTAGGATTTATTTGTTTTTATTTTCTAGGATTTGGAATATCCGGTTTATTTTTACGGCTATTCATATACAGGGTGGTTCAAAAAATCTGTACTCTTGAGGAGACACCTCTCGTAAAAATAATATTTATTTTTCATATTAATATAGGTCCGGTTCTGCTTTGTTTCCACAACAGTTTGTAGCTACAGGGGGTTAAAAATCTTCATATTTTTTCGATTTATTATAATTTTCTTCTAAGTGCTTTTAGCGATTCGAATGAAATTTTGAGGGTAAAAATTACTATAAGTGCGGCATATTTGATTGCTAAAATAGGGTCGACATATTCACCAGGAACATGCATAAGGGTTATTATTAGAATATGTGCCCCACTGACTGTTTCTCTTGTTATAAAAATTGTGTAGGCCGTTAAATGCTCATTAAAAGTTGTCTCTTGATATTTTGTAGATTTCGGTCTCCTTGATGAGATAAACGGAATTTAATAAATTCGCCTTAATTCAATTTTATTCTAATAGCAACCTTTAAAAAAATTAATGTCATTAACTTGTCAAAATGTTAAATAAATACTTATCGATTCCTCATTAAAAAATATGAAAAAAATCCTATAAACATGGGCGGAGACAAAAGCATAGTATTAAAGTTACAAGATCTTAAAACTTTTAAAAAATAGTCCTTTTGTAAATATTTTAAATAACATTATTTTTAGCGAAATTAGATATAAGTAGCACTGTACATCAGTTTTATAAATTTTAATAAAATTTAGCAATAAATGTGTAAACATTAAATAAATAATTTATTTAAAAAAAAAATCTTATTTTTATTTTAATTCTATTAATTACGTTCAATAAAATTGAGTGTATCTCATCGAGGAGATAGAAATGAACAAAACATCAAGATACAACCTTTAATCCGCATTAAATGACCTACACAATTTTGATAATAAGAGAAAAAATGTCAGAGGCGCACATATATTTTTAAATATTCTAGTGATAACCCATATGTACACATAATAACTTTTACCCTCCAAATTTCCTTCTAATCGTTAAAAGCACTAGGAAGAAAACTATAATAAGTCGAAAAAAATTAAGACTTTAACCTCTTAAAGCTACGAACCAAAGCAGAATAATTGTTATGAAAAATAAATCTTATTTTTACGTTAGGTGTCTCCCCACGAGAGATGGCACATGTTTTTTGAAACACCCTGTATAATTTTAAATAAAGACTTCTTGGCACTAAAGGAAAATTTAGATCTTAAAAAAATAAATTAAATAAAACAACATTAGTAGTAAAATCACAACAATTACCACAAGATTTCAATTTTCCCATTTTCAGGTCCTTAATTACTGATGTGTCTTTCTTTACTAAATAGCGAATATAATATAACAAATTCAACTACTATCGTAATATCTTCTATACTACAACTGATATAAAATATAGTTGCTGGTTGATCATAATGTCAGACTCTAGCAATGTTCCGAAAATCTCTTCTGACATTTAGGTATATTTAATATTTTTTATTTTTCTAAAATAAATCACTCAATCTGTTTTTCACTTGAAATGACAAGATAAGCTTCTGTTCGAATATATTTAAGGCCCTTAGCTAAAATTTAAAATTTATATTTTGGGTTTCAACTTAAACCTTCTTACGTCAACATTTTATAAAGATTACAGAATTAGGAATTAGGGTTTTAAATATATGGCTTAAACTAGGTTAACATAATTTAAGTCTTGTTAAGAAATAATAAAATTCATAATTAAATTTTTAAACGGTCATCGGGGATCAGTTTTCATACAAAAATTAAAATTTATGTGTTTCTAAAATAATATGGAGTAATAAGACATAGGTGAAACATTCGAGGAATTTGATTCAGAGAAAAAATTCACAAATATTTAACTATTCATAAATTATTAATATAGAATGTACTGAGAGAGAGGTTAATCACTGCGACCTCTCTTAAATGTCTATTGTGTCTCCCTTTCTTAAGTTATAACTCATTATACATGAGGATTTTATTGTTGTAAGGAGGACAGGGTATTTCCCATCCCCTTCTGACAACACTTCTGATGTTCTTCCTCCGAGGAGTGGACATCGACTTTCTACGAGGGTACACACCCTTCCACGGTTTGGGTTTGGCCCTCCGTGACCTTCACAGTTGAGGAGCTTGTCTCCGGCTGAGGTACCCGTGAGGTGGAGGCTGGAGGATCTGTCTCTATATTTTCCACCTCTTTAACTTGGTCTGTCCTTAGACCAGATTCCGGTGCTGTCCCGTATTTATAATAGAGGATCTATCTCTCTTTCTCTATTGCCTTTTTGGATTTGAGGTCAATTCCTATTGTCAAGACCTGTCTACCTTCCTCCCTCAAGTTGATGCCTTGCCAAGTAGATATCCTTACATTGGAGTTCTGAGCCTGGATAAAGGCTCACCAGGTAGGTGGTGTCTTTCCCTTTGCTAACTACTCATGATAGGCTAACGTGATTGGTAACTAGTATTATCTATGGCACTTGCTACATTAAAAATTCTAAATAAAATGTAAGTCAGATTATATAATTTTATTACAACTTGCATATTTAATAACATATTCGTGGACGGGTATTATATTTAAGTAGATTGCCAAGCAGCGCTAAAAGCACTTGCTTGCATGGACCTATGACGGTAAAAATAACGCTTTATTGTACAAAAAGCCAAAATAACTTCATCGACAAAGCATTTAAAATCAAACAAAAGCACAAAAAATATACAAATAGTAAAAAATATCATACAATACAAATCATACAATTCAAAAAAATTTAAGTCTTCAAAATTACTATATTAATACATGGAGATTGCAGAACATAAAAAAGGCGTATCAATAAAATTTTACAATAGGAAAATTGTAAATGGGTATAATCCTTTAAGAGTCATAAAATATTAAATACTAGATTTTTAACCAGTGTGTGAGATGATCAAAATTTCAAAATTCAAAATTGTTCGTGATTAAACATCAACAAAAAATCGTTTACCGCATATACTCGTAGGGCTCTCTCCAGCAAGTATGATTTCAGACAAAAAATGAAAGGCGACTTGATATTTAAAGGCAAATGATTGTACATTTTTTTGGCATTGTACAGTATTTAGCCTTTAACTAGTTCTGAGCTCGGGGTTGGCAGATAAGGATCGTGCTCCGCATTCCTAAGTGGATAGTTTTGAGATGGCCTTTCGGGAATAGCAGATATGTGCTTGCGGAGTAGACCAGAGTTGGATTGTGTGCGTTCTTTAAATATATTGGCGAACGTAGCGGTGTTATGTTATCCTGGATACCAGGATACAAGGTTCACATCAACGCTATTAATAGAGCCAGAACTCTTCTGCGGTGCTGCAAAGTCAGCTAAAAGGATGACCAACAAATTTTTAGAATAGTGGAGACATTTGCCAGGGCAGAGACAGGCGAAAATCTCATAGTAGACCATTTGGCAAAATTTATGACAGACCGATAAGCAAAGAAAAAAGATAATCAAGACTATCAAAACTAGTGGTTTTATTAACAGGGCGTTATATGCTTGGTGCTTTTCACTTGATTTCAACAAATTTCGACCGCAGCGCACTCTACGGCAGAAATCAGAAATTATTAATATATAGTTCACGCCACCGCGCCGGCGCCGCGCCACGTGCCGTCATGTCGATCGCATTAAAATAATATTATTGAAATCGGGGTTTGGTCATAATATTTAAGTATTTTAGTTTTTTGCTAGTGCAGTTATTGAGACTATAAAACACTCAGGTTTGTGTGATGTAACGCTGTTTCGGGTAGTAAAAAATAAGTGAAAAAGAATTCTCACTAGGAGTCTTGCTGGAAAGCGTAATTAAGGCGTTGTTGGATGCAATAACATTCAATAACTCAACTTTCCTGGATATTCACCTCTCCCGAACGAAACATTTTATAGCTTCATCATTTATTACACCGATTTTATCAATAGCAAACATGGATCCAAGCAGTTCGACGAAACAACTGAGTAAACAAAGTGCTCGTTACATAATCAAAAAATTAAATAGATATATACTATGAGAGGATGAAATATAATTTGTGTGTGTGTGTGTGTGTGTGTGCGTGTGCAATATTAATGGTATAATTTTTTAATCAACTAGTGATTAAATGTTTTATGAACATCTTCTAAAATTATAATTATGTACCTTTAAAAAAATTAGTTATAGCCGAAATAGCTCCAAGTATGCCCCACCAGCAAAACCGGTGATAAAACTATGCTCGCTACCGTAGTTGAACTCATCTATTTTTTTTAAATAATAAATAATAAATGGAATAATAAATTATAATGCAAATTTAACCTTTTGAAGATATCAAAATATTTACCTTTTTATTTTTTTGTTTAGAATTTCCACAAATTATATTTTCTAACACTTTTTGAATAATTATATACTAATTTTTTCGTTTACTCGCCATTTAAACCCATGTATTTTGTGTGTATTCGTTATTTTCGATATTCTCCGGCGGTGGCAGCACTGGCGGAGAATGCACAAAGTCTATAGGCATAATAGGTATCTAAAGCTGGTGAGATTGACGTACGAAGCCAGAAGCCCAAGTGAAGATTTTGTCAATCTGAAGAAGAAACGACAGGTCGCATTTTATGTCAGACAAAGAGTCATATGAATGGTTCAGTGTCAAGTTATTATACTTAAGAAGGATGGGACTGGAAAGTATAAGCTAAAGATCAGAAGAGGATCACACGAAATCTAAAAAGATAGGTGGAATAGATCGATAGTCACCACAAAAATTTAATCTAACCCAATATTACGATTTTTAGTTATTAATTAAGAACTGACAAATCCTAAAAAGCTCAAAAAATAATTT